AAAACCATACGATATCCAGAACTTTTTCCAAAGGAATACATGATAAATATCAAAATTGTTAACCTTTAGATACTGTTTTCTTCCTTAAATTAATAATAAGAATGTTACATCTATAATTAGAATACCAAAATAAAACTTTTTCGGTTACATTCTCACTTCGACCTTGCTAAACAAATCAACAAATTATGGAGAAGTAAAGCATTTATCTTCTACTTCCATGATCAGATTCTCTCGATCAGTAGAAAACAAAAAATACTAACCATATAATAATTTCCTTAAGATAATTGTTCATGATGTATTCCTAACATACTTAAAGCAAAACTTTGAAGCACTTTGTAAGACAAAAAAGTTTAAGAACATTTTCACAACTAGAAAATTGAAACTAAAATCAGAAACAAATTAAAAAATATACGAAATATTTTTCTTAAAGAAGAATTATTGTTAATATGTGTCTAAAGAATCTTACTGATTTCAACAAACTTTGCAGAAACACGAAGTTACCAAAGTTTAATGAACAAATGAAGAACAAAAGAATAGAAGATATTAAATTAATTAACAAATCTAAAATTTGTAATACATACCTGAATTTGGAAAAATAGAAAGAAGATCAAGCCCACTGAATGCACAATGTCCCTTAAGGAAATTATTCCCCTCTAGTATTCGAGGTTTGATTTGGAATATGTCCTCATAGGGTAGAATGATATCAATCACCTGTGTATTGATACTCAAAACGCTGGTGTCAGCGAGCCACTCAACGGCAACAAAGTACACTTAGAATACTAGATTTAGTAGTAGTAGTAGTAGAAGTCTCAAAAATTCTATATTCTATATATTAATAAAATTAGAAAAATCTCTGAATTCATAAAACAAAGGATAGTGCAAAAAGGTTCTTATTGTTCCTTACTGGAAATGTCACAAACCTTTGGTAAAGTCACAATATTTCGGAAAGGTCATCATCATTCATAAAAGTCACAACTTTCCATAAAAGTTGCAAATTTTCATATAAGTAACAACTTTTCATAAAAGTCACAACCCTTTATAAAAGTCGCAACCTTTCATAAAAGTCACAACTCTTTATAAAAGTTGCAACTCTTCGTTTTCAATTCACACCCTTCAAAACCCAACATATTAATTTTTCGGAGAGGGATTTTTTACGAACTTTAAGAGTTATGGACGAACTCCAAAAATGAATTTCTACATATCTCAGACTATATGAGAATTCAGGCTACTTGTAGTTTAATACGCTCGATTGGATGCATGATTTTGAGAGAATTCAAAAGTCATCTCCATGTCGAATTATGAAGGGACCAAAATTCTCAAGAATAAGATTAATGAGCGAATGTTGGAATACAACCGAGTTTTCAACATTTAGTCTGCCTACATATCCTTAAACTTAAGGAATCAGGTTGTTTGTTGTTTGAACCGATTGGTTGAAAAGGAGATCTATTATGCTAGATAACACTTGATTTTGGAAAAATGACAAATTAATTCTAGTATGAAAAGGAAGCCTATAAACTCTTAGCCATGAATGAGGTGCACTTCGCACCCATAATTAAGAAATTACATGGACATAATTTCCGAAACTCTTGGTGTATTGTCACTTGAATTGGAAACTTGCTTCCGACAGAGACCAAAATGGATGCGAGACCGAAGACAAGAAATTAGAAAAAAAAATCACATGCCTTATGATTTGATTGTGGTGGAAGTCGCTCCTCTGCTCGCGTCCTAAGAGTTTGACATTCCTCTTTGGACTATGTCCTAGTTTGCTGCTAAGAAAAATTTCCACGTTGTGTTGCATACATTTTGATGTCGTCCACACCTGTGGTTTTTTATTTTTTGGAGAATTCATCCTTCTAGATGCTCTCGACAAAGAGTGAGCTAAAATCATTAGCATAAAAATTCAATTAAAATGGGCAATAGTATCTTTTACCATGTTGACACTTAGTTGTTCTCCTTCGATATTTGACGTCAACTCCATTCAGTTGGACGTAAAGAAAATAAAACTTATGTTTTATGCTAGCGATGTAATCTTGAATGTACTCTTCATTTGATGTCAAAATAAATAAAACTTGATGCAGTGTGCTGATATTTTCCTTGATGTCGTCTTCGATGATTTTCTTGGTGTTTACTCTTGTGCCAAATAAAAGATGCAGCTGATGGGTAAATATTTCTCTTGGAATGCACGATTTGCTTTTATTGTAGTGCATGATATTTCTTGCGCGATGCGTGAATTCATTCTCTTGCAATGCATGAATATCTTCTCGTGATGCGTGGATTTTCTCTTGCAATGCGTAACTTCTTCTCCGCAATGCCTGATTTTCCGCAACGCATGAATTTTCGCGATGCATGAAATTTTCCCTCAATGCATGAGTATCTTCGCGATGCATGAATTTCCACGATGCATGGATATCAATTCGCGATGCATGATTTTTCGCAATGCTTGAATATCTCAGCGATGCATGAATTTTCGTGGTGCATAAATATGAACTCGCGATGCATGATTTTCTTCGATGCACGAATATCGACTCGCGATACATGATTTTCCGCGATGCATGAATATCAATTCGCGATGCATGATTTTTCCCACAATGCATGGATATCGACTCGCGACACATGATTTTTTGCGATGCATTAATATTAACTCGCGATGCATGACTTTCCGCGATGCATTAATATCAACTCGCAATGTATGAATATTAAGTCGTTGTTATTTAACACCTTACATATTTTGGGATAATTTTTTTGTTGTCACTAAATAATTAATTGATAAGAGACAATATAATATGTGTCACCAATTATGTATATTATTAGTGACAAAATAAATGTCATAATTAAATATAAATTTTCATAGATAAAATTTATTATATTTAACTATGAACTCTAATTTATCGATATTGTAACAATATATTTTAGATAAAATTTATTTGTGTCCAAAATTTTATAAATTAGAAGACAAAATATTATGTCATGAATTAGATACATCATTGTGACGAATAATGTGTCACTGATATCTTTAAATTCGTGACTAACACTACTTAACAAATGACGCCAATTGATTTTTTGTGGAAAATTTTAGTGGACAGAACATTGCTACTGATTTTTATGTTTTGTCACTAAAAGTATGTGTCTCTTATATTTAAGCACTAAAAGTAAATTTTGTTACTAAAATTGAATGACTACACCATTTTAGGCCTACGGCCACCCCATTAAAGTGTAGCCTAAACTAGCAAAAAGTGTGGCCTTTGATAAAAGGTCACACTTTTGGACTTTAGGCAACACTTTTTAGGGGGTGGCCAAAAGAAGCGTAACCTTTGACATTAGGCAACACTTATTAAATGTCACCACTTTTGGCTACACTTATAAAGCGTAACATAAGAAGTATAAGGCCACGCTTTGTAGTGATGCATTAACAACACCTATATTTTATTATAGTACACTTAAAAGCGTTGCCTTTGCAGTTATATTGGTCACACTTTAAAACTGTTGCCTTTTATAGGTCATCTAGCGCAACACTTCAAAAATGTTGCCTTTTATATCTCATATATAGTAACACTTATAAAGTGTAATTTTATATCTCATATAGAGCAACACTTACAAAGTGTAACTTTATATCTCATCTAGAGCAACACTATTTAATTGAACATATTCAGTATATGATCACAGAATTAAATCGAAGCAATATATTTCAAATAAACTTCAAGAAACATGTTCAAAACTCAAAAACTTAGAAAGTAATTGCTTAAAGATCTCTAATATCAATAAATTCCAAAAATACCAAATGCATACTAATGTATATGACAATAGTACAAAAACTCTTCAGCGTTCACTACAAAAAATAGATCGAGTTTACTTCTGCCACAATTCAAATTCAATTACCGGCATTTTCCTGCACATTGAAAATAAATTTATAAGTAAGTGAAATAAATGTGAAAGTGCATAATTGGAGAGTATTCATTGTAAGCCAACCAATCCAAATCAATATATATACGCAAATCATATAGAACATTTATAATCACGTGAATTATGGATTACTGCATGTATTTTAAACACAAAGATATAACAGACACACATCATATCAAAATCCATTCAGAGCATCTGTAAAATTTCCCTTTCTCTTCCCACGATTGCACGAAAAGCTGAGAAAAAGCCTGCTGAGAAAAGGCCAGCAGCTGAAAAAACTCGCATAGCCGAGATATCTCATGCAGAACATAATGCACAGGACGAAAAGAAGCTAACAAAGAACAGCACTGCAGCTGTCGGAGATAGAAAGAAGAAGAGATTGAAGAAAATCAAACTGTTGTTTGTCTTTTTAATCCTGTTGAATTAGCTAAGCATGTACATAAAAAATCTGCATGTTGAATGAAATTTTCCAATTTTGTACATAAAAAAAAGACCTCAAGAGACTAGCTCTCCTAGTTCCTGCCTAAGCAGTAACTGGGAGCTGACATTCACAATTTGATATTGAGCAAAGACATGGAGGCTGATAGGAAGAACAAAAACAAAGGGGAACAAGGAAAATATGATTTTAGAAACCTACAAATGCAGTACACAAAAAAGTTTTAGTACAAACCAAAAAGCCTTTACAAGTTTACAAGTTTAACAAGTTAGGCATTTTTCCAACAATTTCAGAAACCTGCAAATGTAATACAGATTCTTTACATGTTCAACAAGTTGGGCATTTTCCCAACAATTAAATCGTTAGACATGAAAGCTTAACAAGTTTTTGAAAGATTGGCAAATACACTCAAATCAACATGAATAACTCAATCCAAGTTATCAAGAACAACTCTTGCAACATTACCACACTCAAAGCTGACAGAATGTAACTATTTTTTCTAATAAAGGTTACCATAAGAGTGCATCAACAGATGAGAAGTACTATAGGGTTGATGTCATGAACCTATATGAAAAAACTACATGTCAAATACTGTTAAACCAAAAAACAGAAAGCTTTAGTAGTAAATTAGCTGGAAAGTTCACAAACCCAAACTTAGACAGTCAAGAATCACAAGAAACTCCCCTTGAAGGAACACAAATTCTGGTTGGAGAATTCTCTCTGTCACATTGATAAAGGATACCCAGGATAGAAGATCGGTCAAGGTAAGTGCCCTTCCTGTATATAAATTTACCACTGAATTTAAGCAAAAGAATGTCAAACATAACACCATGAAAATTTATAGACGTTACAAAAGGATAACGGTGACATAAGAATCTGTCAGTTTTGGAAAGATAGTTGGCTAGGAAACACTCCTTTAATGAATGTTTTTACAAACATTTTTCAGATTAAATCTTATCCAGACTCAACCATGTCGCAGTACAGGGAAGAGAATATGTGGAAAGTGATCCTAAGTAGAAATATTAATGACTGGCAGTTGGAAAAGGTTTTTAGCCTTATGCCTACCATTCATACTAGTGCAATCAATAGTCGATGCAGGGTCAAACTGATCTGGAGACATAGCAGGGACAGATCCTACTCAGTTAAAGCATTCTACCTTCGAAAAAACTCTCAGAAGACCTTAACTAATCAATGTCCATGGAAATTAACGTGGAGAACTAAGTTGACACCTAAATTTTTTTGTTTAAGATTATTTATTCTAAAATACTCTTGCTTGACACAAAAAAAATTGTTTCAGTTGGATTACCATTAAAGTAGGATGTTTGAGTACTCTTTTTGTTGTGTTTATCTCTCTCCCGTATTTCGTGTGGATTCTTACCTAGAATTTATCATCACTGTTGTTAATTATTTGCTTGACACAGAAAAATCATTCTTTTGTAATCTGTGCATCTGCTTGATGCTTTATTAATGACATCCTTCTTACTTCACAAAAAAATATGTCTATGCAGATGTGTTGTCTTATGAGCATATCTACCATATAAAGTGGGAAGAAACACAGACTCTTATGAGCATATCTGGCATGTACAGTAGGGAAGAAACATAGACCAGAACAATCCACACAATAATTCTGAAAATTATAGACACCAACAAAATGGTCTCAAACTATTCTAATTTGCTCTGAGATGAGTAGTTAAGCAATCAAAAAGTTTAAGTCTGTTATCAAAAATAAAATCAAGTCTTCAAACCACAATGTGCACTGACAAACTAACTAATCTTATTGAAATAATCATATTATAGTCTAACAAACCACATAAGAAGTACGAATAATTATATAACATTAGCATATATAAGATAACACAAAGATATAACCATGAAACAAAAATTATATGGTCATCGCCTAGTACACATATAATCACTCCATACTTAAAGTATTCATCTTTTGAAAAAGACATAACTTGGTCAAAATCTCAAGATCCAATAATTTCAAACAAAATCAAACTTTGATACTTAAACATCCTATAAATAAAAGAAGAAAAATCAAAGCATCTCGACTCGGCAATAACAACTCTGACCTTGTAATAAACCTTACTAGAGGAAGACCTCATAAATGAGACTACAAAGTGAATCTCTAGCAATCTTAATGTTCAAAAACAATCCCAATATATGTATCTTTGTATCTGCAATTACTATCCTAGTCTTCATCGCATTTTCTATAGAAAATTTTGTCACTATGCCATTGACTGTATAAAGGAAATGGATATCATATCAAACATATATCATGACAAAGCAGAAACTTTCACATAATTTGATAAAGGAAATGGATAATATTAAATGTTGTATCTATCACTTATTTTAATTCAGTATTCTTTTACATACTTGATGAGTTACTTCATGTCCTAAAAGTGAGAGATGCTAGTTTTAATACCTTATTTCTACTATGTGTCCTATAAATTAAAGACATTCAAGAAGTTATATATTCATGTTTACATAAAAAGACATGGAGAATAAACTGACCTCAATATACTAAAATGAGATGATTAGCTCATTAGCACATGCTACACTTGTCAAGTCATATTTCATTATTATTTTTTCAATCAATTCATCTGATCCATGGAATGGTACAAGTCGCAAGTAAGATCAGCGTGGATCAACCTTCAAACTATAAAACAGATATCCAATAAGTACTAGGTAAGTAACATAGCATGAATCATATAATTAGAGCTTTTGAATTCACTATTCAACAAGAAAATCGTGAGAAGCAGAAGTGTAAGGAACAACCCAAAATTTCTCATTTTAAAATATGTCCTTGGCTGGAAGAGTTAAAACATGTGAAGGAGCAGAAGTGTAAGCTTTATGTATGTATGACAAATTTGACAAATTCATATTAAAGAGGAACAGAATAACAGGAGATAGCAGAATATGCAGTCTTAAAAGATGACATGTAATGAAATGGAAAGTTACAAGCTATTTTCTCATTTGTTGCATCTAACTCATCAAATAGGACAGATTTTAGCATCATTCAAAACTTTCTCTCCATTTTGTTTGCACTAACTTCTCCTAATTCTTCTAAAACTTAGATGAAGCAAGCCTCACTTTCAACAATATCCAAAACTCAACAAGTTGTCCGTACCACAAAAACAAATCTTCTACTTGTATTCTGTTATTGGTAGTAATAGTTAGCAGAAAAGACTCTCACAAGTTACTACTCCCTCTCCACCCGTTCAAGACTTGAAAAATATATCTTATATCTCCAATCTCTAAGGCATATGATTTATTTTCTATATAGTGCAACTCAACCTACAAAGCAAGTTTAACAAATTCATACTACGAGGTGATCCCAAAACAACTAAGCAATATTGAACTAATGTTTCTGATGTATACTTGAAAAATGCACTAGACAAACAACAAAATGACTTCTAGACACTTCAAGACATGTAGTCGAAAAAAGAAAAATTTTACCAGCAAATAGCTACAAGACAGAATCAATGTTGTTAACAAAGGAACAAACCAAGATTAAGACGAGCACAATCATGAACTCAGGAAGACTAAAAAAGACTAAAAAAACAGTGACATTAAAACATACATTAAAACTTCTTTAAATTCATGTAGAGTAGCTACTTACGCTTGACGAAATCTATATTAGGGACAAAATATTATTGGTATTGCCAGCTTCAACACTTCAGTTCTTCGAAGAAAGATAACTTAGCTATAACTCAGTTCTTCAGATACTTTTGTCTTAGCTTTAGCTTCTACGTTCAACATTCAAGAGAAAAAATTAGTCTGTCAAAGATAATCTGCCCATTTATACGTCATACAACTACAAACTAAACTCCCTAAATCAATAAAATTCGTATCAATAACACAAGTCATAAAAACCCTAACTTTAATTTTTGACTGACACAAAAGAATATCAAAATCTTAGAGCTATAATTTAGACTTTTGAAGATAAAATATCTTACCTGATAAACTCTATTCCAACAACCCTAAAGCTTTAAGATATGAAGCAAGTTGATTTGTGAAGCATTTTCTTTCAACTTTCAAAAGGAAATCTGATGGAACAACAGTTTACCCAAGAATCTTTGAAGAAAATCGGCTTCTTCAGCTCTCCAATCTTGAACAACGAAGCTCTGAGAGGAGGATCGTCTTCTTCAGTTCGCTTTAGAGGAATCGCATTGCTCTTTGACTTTTCGGCTGAAAATGGTGTTCTTCAACTGAACTTTGATAGAATTTGTGACGAAAATCGATTTCTTCCGTTCTTCGATCCTCTTTTTCAGTTCTTGCAAATGGGTTCTTTTGTTCTGGACAAAAACGTGTTCTTCAACTGAAAGTGAAAGTTTCAGCTGAAGTTTCAGGAATGTTGCCCTTTTTATTGTTTTAATGTTTTATTCTGTTTAATATTTCTTTAATGTTTTATTTTTTTGGCCAAATAAAAATGGAGGGAGATCAAATTTAATTTTAAAATGTTAGAGGGAATATAAAATTTTGGGGAAAACACTAAGGCCACATTTTTCATGTGTTGTATTAACAATTATAAAAATAACACACTTTAAAAGTGTGGCCATTTATGTAAATAGTTGTTGCCAACTATAACAACACTTATAAAGTGTAGGTTATCCCATTAAGGAGTACACTTTAGAAGTGTTGCTAATATTAGTGAAACTAAAAGTCAAAATCATTGGCTACAGTATAAAAACGTCCCCAAAAGTATTTTAGGCAACACTTTATAAGCGTTGTCCAGATTTAGTGTTGTCGTAAACCTAAAATGGTGTAGTGAATAATTAGTGACAAATACGATGTCGTAGTTTGTCATGAATTACATACACTATTAAAGACGAAACAATGTGTCACCAATAACTTTAAATTCGTGACTAACACCACTTAACAAAATGACGCTAAATAATTTTTTGGTGGGAAATTTTAATGGACAAAACTTTGCTACGAATTCTTATATTTTGTCACTAAAAGTATGTGTTTCATATATTTAAGCACGAAAAGTGAATTTTGTCGCTAAAAGTGAATAATTAGTGACAATTTGATGGCGTAGCTAATAATTTCGCACCTATAAATCTTATTTATTGTAGTGATTCTTTTTCATATTCGAATTTAGATCATGATTTAAAGTACAATGAACATTTGACTACAGACTAATGTTAAACAAACTTTAACATAGTTGGTTATTTTAACGATCAATATGTGTATGAATTTTTACTCCAAATAATGTACATAAATATTTCAAAACAGTTAATAGATTTTCATCAGTATGTCAACTTCTATGAGAATACTGATTACCAAACTTAAGTGAAAAGCTAAACGGTGACGTAATATCAATATGATCTAGAATAACAGAAAGCTCTAGAGGTTTTAGATGTGTCTATGATACCTCATAATATATTTCCAAATTAATTCATTTTTTTAAAAGCAATCTAATGTTATTCCATGAGTTGTGGAAAAACAAAATTTATTTGAGTATTTTTTCTAACTCTTCGGTTTGTGCCAATTTTTTTCCATAATCTTTTCTCCACATGAAAAATTGGATCTAAGGGAAAAAACATGTATCTTTTTATGATATTTAGATGATTTTAGGGGGTTATGTTCTCATCGGTACAATTCTAGACTATTCATTTAGAATATAATTTGTGCTTGATAGCATGTAATTACGTTGACGACTGGTAAAACAAATAGAATGGATCTTTGAAGAATGGTATGCGCATGATTAATTTTTTTTTCAACATCTTATTTTACTTTTATTTTTATGAGCTTATTATATCTGTATACTACATAGCAAGATTCAATCTATTCTCTCCATGGAATTTTGATTTTCCCCCTTTTTTAGTTGCTTTTGCATTTAAAGTTCTTTTTTTTAAAAATAAATTGTGTACTGCAGCACAGTGGATATTTACCTACGACACTAGACTACAAGGGTCTATTCTTGAAATACAAAGGTAGTCGAAAGATGGAAAAAGGGGGTTGGACAATCAAAGTGAATCTTAAAAAATTTCTTAGTGTTACATTGTTTATTTTTGACATTTTATTATGCCTTTGTCCACCATTTCATCCATTTTTTTAGTATTATCATGAACTTAAACTTCTAATTTATATTTTCTAATACTTTGTAGGATTTCGAAGTTGTTGAGTAAATATTTTTACATAAGGAGAAGATGGAAGCACTTTTTGATGAGCGCAAGAAGGAATGCCTACTGATTAATGGACAGAGTCCTTCTTTATTTATTGTAATGATTGAAGAAGGTTCCGTAGAAGTTATGGTAAAGTGTGGTTCTTTGTGCATACTTGTTTCCTTAACCTATGTAACACCGCGTATCCAAAATAAATCAAAAACCAGCTTTCCAGAAAAATCTACAGGTGCATCGATGGTTTCCATTGATGGACCGTAGCCTGACTCACGGTCTGCCAGCACATCTTACAATGGGGTCAAAACCCCCAAAATCTCATACTAGGAAAATTTGGTTAAGTTCTGATCGACGGACTGACCTAAGGTTCGTAAGTCAGACTATGATCCTTGGTCTGTGACCGTCGATCGACACCCCATTTACCCACTCTCTGACAAGAATCATGAATGACGAGCATGGTCTGTAGGTCTGACCGTTGGTGGGATTTAGCATATATTGAGGGGGGAAAAAGGCAGATGGGTGAACTTCACGGTCATAAATCTTAGCACAAATTGAATTAGGTATCCCATGACCTTACAAAAGATAGATAATTGGATTAGCTTTCCATAGACATCAACCTTGCTAAAATCAGACCTCGAGTAAAAAGTTATATGCCCATTTTAGTAAAGGCCGGTCGAACAAACCCAACCTACGGACCTAAACGATGGACAATCGATCATACGACAGACCGTCTGTCCATGCCGTCATTTGGTTCGACAGAAATCAACCCAGGGGTCTTTTGGTCTTTTCCCACTTCGTTTAAACCTTAAGATACATTATTTTGACCCTATATCATCAGATTTATGTCAGTTTAAGCCTAGAAACAAAACTAAAACTTACTTAAGTCAAAATCATTAATCAAAAGTAAGAAAATTAGAAGCAAGAAAGGAGAAAAAACTCAAGAACCCTAGTTCAAGAAAGCAACAAGTTTCCAGTAATTCCAGCCACAAAATCTAGGGTTTTCCCGTGAATTTCATCACCAAGTATGTGGGATTTCACTAATGGGCTCCTTTCACCCATAGGGTCCATAGTTTTCAGTCAGTTCTTGATTTTCTTATCATGTTTAAACCTAGGGTTCCTCGAATTACAATAGAACTTCAAGATTTAGTTAAAATATATGTTCCAAATCAGATTATTATGTTTTTACTCAGATTATCGCTTCAAATTCAAAACTATAGCTTTGTATTTCTTTAGTTCTTGAATTACACATGCTAGGTAAGATATTTCAGTTATGTAGTTATACATTCTTCAGTTTTTAATGCATCATTATCAAATTAAATGTTGCCTTTCCAATTTGCATGTTCAATTTTTAGCTATCTAATATTTAAAGAAATTCAAACAAAATCAGTTAACTATATAAATAAATGGGAGTAGCATAATACCGAGTGGACTAGGGTTCAGCGTACCTAATAGTCTCAGAAAAGACTAGCTAAGTAGGTTGTAAGTCCCCTCTGTGGGCATCACCTTAGTCATCAATCCATCATGCCTTTATACCTTTGGCAGGGTATATTGGGTCCTCTTGATGGGGCGTATACATCGGACTCCACATTATCTCATGTGATTTTATTATCGTTTCATAGTAGCTCCCACAGTCAGTCATACTTTATTGCATTGACCATTTATCAGTATATTCAGTATTTAGTTTCAACATGGTATAAATTGGTCATTGCATTCAGTTAGATCAGAATTCTCTATATCATTTGCAAATTATTATATTTGCTTTTGTGCTTGTTTAGTTATGTTTTATTTAAACTTTATTCTATTGTACATGTTCAGTACCCTTCAACGCATACGCGCACTACACTTCTCGTGATGTAGGTTCAGGTTCTCAACATTCAGAACACACATAGATCGATTCCAGATCTCCATTTTAGTAGATTCAGTGGTGAGTCCTCATTCTCCAAGGAAAATAGTTATGAGCTTCTTTTTCAGTCATTTAGTTTCAATTTTTGCTAGATTTAGCTGGGGCTTGTCCCAGTATTTCTAGTCTAGTTTAGAGGATATTGTCAAACATAGTTAGTTTCAGCTTATTGTTGAGTTAGTAATTTCATTGTATTAAACTCATCATCCTTCAAATTATATCAGTTTTAGCATATGGGTATTCCCCATCTTTCTATTATAAATTATGATTTAGCTTCCGCATCAGTTTAGTATGCTCATAATCATGTTAGCAGGGTTAGCTTGGGATCACTTGTGGTCCTAGGTTCCGTGTCCGCGTCTGCGGGTAGCTCGGGGTGTGACAAATTATCTACTTGTTTATGTGAAATTTTGAGCAACCCTATAAACACAATATCATTGTGATATTAAAACTCATCCTTACTTGATTTTTAAGCTCTGTAAAGGAAGATTCTTGTAAACTAAAAAAGCCACTGGTTTCTTCTCGGCTATGATAACAAACTCTTAGGAAATAGAGTAAGTGGAATAGCCGCGTGTAGTGAAGGGTGCATAATTGAATATTCTTTGACGATTAATTATTGTATATAAATAGAAAATTATATGAAGCATATCGGTAAAAAATTATTATTCATATGTATAGACTAAATCTTAAATACTCTTAACGGAGTTTTTTTTATTTCACTTATATAGGAATTTTCAAGAAGAAGAATTTTCTACAAGTTAATTATATGATAGTTCTTGAAGTCACTGTCACTTTTAAATGACAAAGTGTGAACGAATATATGGCTTAATGTTTTTTTTTTCATGATTTAGTTTGGCCTCATGA